CTCACAGTCAGTAAGGAAAGAATTGGACCAGTTGCAACCTGAAGGCTGCAAACACATCCTTGGAGATTGGCTTTCAGGGCTAGGGAACAGGTGAGAAGAGGGGAGACGGGTACTATCAGCATACAAAGTATCCTGACAGCACCTCAGCTTCATCTCCTTTAGGCTATAATGATGCTACATGTGTTTTCCAATCTAAGCCTTACAAAACTTCAAACACCATAGCTGGTTTGAATTTTGGTGGCTGATGCATGGGACTTCATTTCCTTTATCTTCCATCAGACAGCCTTATCCTCCATAAAACTTTCATGGTAAAAAAATAAAATGTTATCCGATATGTCTTCTGACACTTCTTTTATTATCTTTGCTAGAAATGGTACAGAAAAATTGCAATGACATATGAAAAAGAACAAGATAAAAGCTCACATCAAAATCACATCAGTATAAACGTGCTGAAGGGGCCACATTTTCATTTTATTCCCCTGAAAACTCATCAGTAGACAGAAAGCTACACAATTCATTACTGCCAAAGAGGAGAACAGGATAGTGAAGCTACACTTCAGAGAATCCTATTAAAAGTAGCACCAAGTAGAACCATTGTAACTTGTGTTTGAAACTCCAGCTTTAAAAACAGTTAATTTGTTAGTTTAAATTATATTCTTCTATTATGTCGAGCAAGAGGGGAACTCTCTGGAGTTGGGACAGCAACAGAGACAGAAAAGAGAACACAACATTATGTCAGTCAGATGGGGAGATGTGGATCATTAGAACAGGTGATATGGCTCCCTCTTAAATTAGGAGGGACTGTGGTATGTGAAAGGGCTATGAACTCAGTTCTGGTATTGAAAACAAATGCTTGGACTGAACAGGTGATCAGAAGCACCCTGATCTACATTTAATTCTAAACACAGAGGTCCTGGTAAGAATACAAATTTGCCCCATTAAGCCTGAAGTCTGTCCACTCCTAATAGCTCCTGGACTTTTCCCAGAGAGTTTATGTAAATATAATAAAACAAGCCATATGTTGCAAATGCCAACCTCTGCTTGAAATGGCAAATATTTAGTGGCCAGGTTATTCATACTAACTTCATATTGTAGGTTTCTTTTAAAGCTTGCAGTGCATGTTCCTTGGTTAGATTTTTCCAGTCTTCTGGCAGATCTGCTGGTTTACAACCATAGTGTTGGGCTAAATCATGATTGAACTCTTTGAGAAAGAACTTCCAGTAATCAGAAGCATTGATACTGGGATCTGGTTGGATGCACCAGTCTGGATAATATACACGGTAATCCTTAAATTGATGCCATTCCCAATCGGTGTCCTCACATTGAAACTCAGATTCAGAAGCTACCAGTGTGGAACAAAGATTATAAACCAGCTTTTCCGAATCTATATCTTTATATATACCTAGGCCTTGAGGTTGATGGACTGCCGCAAAATGTTCCTTATGATTGCTCCCCCCAGCTTCACAGGGGACCTTGCAGAAGGGACACTGCTTCCCACAACCAAAAACTTTCTTGAATATCTCATCCTGAGGCTTTACAGATAGACTGGAGAGTTTAGATTCAATATCCAAAATGTCCAAGTCAGATAAGAGTGTTTTTTGCAAATCAGGAAGGAATTTTTTAACACAGGAAGCAAACTGGGGAGAGCTGGATGTAAACTGCATCCCTATGAGATTATAGTTAGAAATTACCAAGTCCCTCTGCATTTCTTGGCAAAAATTTTCTAAAAAATCCAAGACTGTCTCACCATCTTTCTGCCTCAAGTTTTCCAGTGTTTCCTTAATTTTTTTTAATATTGCAGAGAGAATCTCTTTCTCCAAGTTCTTCAGATTCTGACTTTTTCTATAATGATCCAATATTTGTTTCAAGACCCAGCTCTTGACATACTCTTCATAGGCTGTAATGTATTTCATATATTGGGTAAAATTCCTCTCTTCCAAGAGCTCCTTCAGAACAGTAAACTGGAAGAAGCTTCGACTTGCATAGCCAATAGACTGTGTGCTGCTAAGAATGTCATCCATGATCACTATCCCAAGTCTCTTGTCTACATAATCCAATAGGGCAGATTGGAGACACTGGTTGCAGAAATCCTTAGCTATAACCAGTTGGGCATCTTTTTCCAGATAAAGATCTCTGAAAGTGGAGAAATACTGAGATTTCAGTTTCTCTAAACGTTCCTGAGGATCGTTTTCTTTAAGAAAATTTTCATGGATCTTCTGAAATACATGAGCTGCTTCCCCCAAAATGTGAAGTTTTAGGTCTACTTCAAAGGAAGATGTTGTATGAAGTTTTAGAACATCAGGCTGTTGAAGCATGTCATTGATCATACGCAAAAGTTCACCACAGTAGGTTTCATCGTAATCTTTCTTTTTATTGATTTTTTCATAAATGTATGAAATACATTTGCCCATCATGGAATGAGCAAATTCTTCTATTTTTTTACACAATTCTTCCTTTTTTAAAAAATAGCGCTTGAAACGATCAGAGTATGATGAGTTTATATACTCAGTTTTCATTTGGAAGGAGTTTATTCTGTAATTGAACAAACTTTTTGCTTCCTGTAGTTTCATGTTGACTGCGCCTCCTCGGTAGGAAAAATCCCTTTTCAAATATAATTCAACATCTGAATATATTTCGCGCCTCTCTAAGTGTTTGGGTGATATTTCCAACAATGTCTCTTTCCACATTCTTTCAAATTCACCTTTCAACTCTTCATCTTCTAATTTCTTATTTTTCTCCCTACATTTTCCAAGAAGCCTGTCAACCTTCTGTTTAATTGCATTCAGGTATTCAGCTTGGAGACTATCAATCTTGTGCTGACACTTTGCAATGTGAAGAGCTTCCTTACATTTGTTATAACAGTAAGTCTTCAGTTCAACCTTGAGGCTATTAGCACTCCTGACAAAATCTTCTTTGTACCGTTCTACCAAATGCACATTTACTGCCTTCCTTTCAAAGAATTGCTTCAAACTTTCCAAAACTTGTTTTTCTCCAGCTGATAGTTTATCTTGAAGACAACTTTGCCAGCTGCTATGATCATGTTCATCAGGGGAAACATTCTGTATTATAGTTGACTGCTCAGATACCCAGAGGTGCATCTCTCTGCGGAAACTCCATTCCCATTCAGAAAATTTGACAGACAAGTTTGTATAGGCTTCTGCTATGAGGCTGTTTCGGAAGCTGAAGATGAAGTTCTCATGTTTTACAGCATTCCACAGACTTTTCACCCACTCAATGAATTCTGTAATGTTCTGGGGAGATTTTTCAAGTGCACGGTCCCTTATCACTTCAAATAGGTACTTCTTTAACTCAAAGACCTTTTCAGTGTATCCTAAATTGACTGGCGCCGTGGGTGGGACTCCATGCCACAAACTTGGGATGTACCAATTGTGCAATTCTGGATCGTAATCCATGATATCTGAAAACTTGATATTTCTGTCAAGCTTTTCCATTATTGCTGCAGCCTGGGTCATTTCATTCAGCTGCTCCAAAAGATGTTTCCTGTCCCTCATGGTTTTGCGAGGGGCTGCCACATCATTCACATTTTGGTGAACAAACTGGCAGTTGGGTTTTTGACCAATCTTCTCCATCCTGAGGAAGGCATGGGTCACAATTTGGAGGATGTCTTTCATTTCAGTGGCATTCTCCATGGCCATGTTCACTATTGTAATGTCACTCAGCCCAATGACCAAAGTAGCCAACTCATTGTCATGTTGATAGCTGTCTTCCAATTTGGACAGTTCTGGCGCTTTCAAGCCTTCCGTATCTATCACCAGGATGAAGTCACAGCCCAGCTCCTGAGTCAGGTTTTCTGTGAGTTTGAGTAGTGTCATGAATGCACCTTGTGTACATCGACCACTGCTGACTGCAAACTGCAGGCCAAACATGGTGTTGAGGAGGGTGGATTTCCCAGTGCTCTGCACCCCCAGCACAGTTATCACCATCAGTTTGGATTGACCTTTTACTTTATTATTGAGTTCAGTCAGAACATCAGTTATCCATTGCAAGGGGATGTTGGATGCATCTCCATCAATCAGCTCTAGAGGAAAGCCTTCCAGCAGTAGGTCAGCCACAATGCTGGGAAAATAGCCAAACTGTCTTTTCTTTTCCGATATATTGCCTTCTTTAACCATTGCATATTCTGCCTCATAAAATTGTCCCAATTCACGTAAGAAGTGTTCAACTCCCAGTGAAGAGGAAGATATTAGTTGGTCTATCTCTACAATTTTCTGGTCATCGTTTCCTAATGTCTTGTATTTTTCTTTGTAAGCAGCCCATAAATTAGAAAGATTTTCCCTAGCAATGCAATCCAAGTTGAACTTCAACCATTTTAAGAAGTAGTGCTTCTCTACAGAGTTCAAGTTTTTGATGCCTTTGATGAAATTAATCAAACCAGTGGTGAGCTCACATCTGTTTTGTTGTTTACGTAGTTCTAACAGCTTGGTTTTCAGCTCTGACCTATACTTTTCCAAAGGCATATTCCCTTGACTCTCCATTCTGCAAAGTTCTTTCTCTAGCTTTGCCAGATCTTTCCAGATGCTCCCTTGGAGTTTCAACATATTGTTCTTGTAAACAGCTACATCTTTTACCTCTTGTGTGATGTTTTTAGCACATTGGAAAGCATTCTGACATTCCTGACTGTCCTCATCCACCTGGATGGTACATTTACGGGCTATAGCAGCCATCTTTTGTATACTCATTATTTTGGGGGCAGAGTTTATTATTCTTCTAGCAATGGGCTGTAGCTTTCCCACAAACTCTACATTATTTATTGTATCAGACTTCACTAGTATATGTGACTTATTGAGTTCAAGCACTGGAGCCAATTTATTTAAAAGATCCAAGGTTTCTTTTGATTTTGTACTTTGCTTTCCTAAAATGAAGTAGTACTGTGTTGATGAACCCTTCAGTAAAGACAAAAAGGCATATTCTCTCTCACTGATGAACTCAGCAAATATAAACACAGCTGAGGAAACCTGTGTTAAAAAGTTAAATTGTACCTGGTGTGATTCAGCATCTCCACGGAGATTTGCAACTGCCACTGGTTCTGGGAAAAGATCTGAGTCCTTCTCTCCTCCTGGAAAGTAACAGGACACCTCTACAAGCCCATCAGCAATTTTTCGAGGGATGCTTCCACACTCCATGTCTTGGTGTATGAAGAAATTATGATTTTGCTGGGAGGGGCTGAGAAACAAATTGAGGAGTTTGGACTTGGAGAAGGTCAAGTTTCCTATTCGCACAAAGGAGAGGGTTGGCATGGATGTCAGAACCAAGCTCTCTTCCTTAAAGCCCCTACTTTCAGCCATGGAAAGGGGTCTCCATTTCTTCACAATGTCCCTCATGGCCCAGAGCATCAGGGTGCAGGTGTGCGTCTCCAAGGGAGGCAGCAGCAACGGCAGGGCAAACTGGCACAGGGACATTTTGGAGAGGATCTCCTGTTGGAGGAAACTGTCTGAGCAAAGCAGAACAGCACAAAGAACATCAAGGGGGTTCACAGATACTGTCATATCCATTTCAGTAACAAAGAAAATGCTATCATCAATGCTTTCTTCCTTATCCATTCCTCTCTGAATTTCATCTACAGAAGACCCCTGCTTAAGGCTTGTGTCCCTGGCTGTCACATTTGAAGCCAAGAGCTTTCTCAGAAAATGGCAGGGCAAGTCTTCCATTTCTCGAGGGGTGCATTGCTTTAGACTTCCTGAGCTGATTTCCAAAATTTTTTGCAAGGAAAGCACCTTATGTTCATGATTTAGTAACTTCAATTTGGAAAGAATATCCTGGAGTACATCACTTCTCTCTGTAAGAAACAACAAGAAAATGATTATTTTGATAGTAGTTGGAATTATTACCAAGTGCCCTATAGATCTCCTCAGCCTCAGCCTCTTCCCCACCCCATGTTCTTTACACCATCAGAATAGCCACTGTTTATGTAGCTGGCAGGATTATTGGCAATGGTAAATGGCAGCTCTGAATGGACCATGAGAGCTTCAAGTGTATGGGATAGGGTACTTTCCTTCCTTCCTTCCGTCCTTCCTAGCAGATCAAGATAAAGACTTTCTATCTTAAAAGCTTCATTATGTTAAAGCGGATCAGCTAGGCTGGTTTCATAATACAAAAGTCGAATTTGCAGAAGGAGATGCAATGCAACTATTTATGAATGATAATGATCCCAGAGAATCATCTGATGGTACAGGATGCAGCAACCTTGCTGACTTTAAGTATTTCTGGTCCAGTTATTGCCTGGATGGAAAACCTCCAGAGGACTCTCCATACAGCAGCTTGAGCTCCCCAGAATAAAGGTGGAGTATGAACAAAGTGGTGCTTCTTTTCCCTGGCAAATACCTGGATGAGATACTAGCTGGGAAATCCACTTTAAGCTCTTTGTGGGATGAGTAGAATACAACATTCAAAATTTCCACTAGGGAACAAGAGTGGGAAATACCTTTTGTATGGTGTCCCTTTTGTTCTGGTCCTGGAAGAGGTTTTTCTTCTAGCTCTTGAGCAGTATAACCTAGATGAGAGTTGTGACATTTAACCATAAACTTGGAGAAGCATAATGAACAAGCATTACTGAAAATGTTCTAGTCAGTTACTTGAACAAAACCCAGCAAAGATCCTGTTCCTGAGAGAACTTCAAAGGGACTAGAATTCAAATAGGCTTACATTAGAGAAGCAGCAATCCTACCAGGGTGGGAGAGGGTGCAGGAAGGCCAGAAGGCAGAGGAACAATCTGATCTGCAGTCTAGCTAGCTTGCACCGCCAGAGAGGAAGGGAAATTAAAACAGGGTTTATTTGTTTCCTTCTACTTTTTTTTTTTAAATAAAGTAGCCAGCATCGAATATGCTTTTTAAAATGCAAGCTAAACAGAATGTCAGGATCAAAGGCAGCTTCAGGGTTCCACCTACTGGCTCAACACAGGAATAATAGCCCTGGTAGTTGTTGGATTCCTCCCGCAATCTACCACAGCTTCCAGAGTTCTCATGAGCACCATCTGGGAGCCCTGAGTAAAGAACTATGTACGAACCAGCTCTTTCCTTGTCTTAGCAAAAAAGGTCTCCTGACTTGCTGTAGTGCTTCTAGCTTCCTAGTTGTTGCCGCCTGAGCTCCAACTCCTGGACTGTGTTCCAGTTCCTGGACCTTGCTCCTCCTGTTTCAGCTTCAGTCCCAAGGTATCCCTTCCTGTTTGTGTTGCTTCATCAGTTACTGACTTCTGGTCTGCCTTGACTATGTTATTACCTAGTGAACTGTACTTTGTCTCATTCCTCTCTTACTCCTGGCTCTGATTTTGGATTATTGGACTTGGTTAGGACTGATGTTTGGACATTGGCTTAGTTGCCCAGGTTCTGGTGACTGTGCCTGTTATTCTGTTGGCCATGTCCCAGTTTCTGACACAGAATTTTGCTAAAAGTACCTTTGCAAACTTCTTTGTTTGTCTCCACTGATACTCTCTGGCTCTCCACTTTTTCTTCTAGAAGGGAACACTCTGCAAGGAGAGGTGGGGGGCGGGGGAGAATTATATCACTTCTGGAAGTGTCAGCTTGGCCCTGTCTAAGTCTGTAGTGGTGCACTCCAGAAAAGGTGTTAGCTTGATTCTACTAAATAAGAGATTGCCTTCAGGGTCAAAAGGTTGCCAATGGGTGGAGGGGGGGCACACACACATACATACCAAGCACACACCCATGCAAACATGTACATGCACTCCTAATTTCTTTCCTCATCTCATCCAGCAAGGATGAGAGATAGCTAAACTAGCCCCTCCAGCACTTGGAGATCATCCTTTTCTGCTGGGATTCAGGGATTGGGGTCTTTTTGCACTGTTTCCCAAAACAATGGGGGTCCAATCACACTTGGCAGGTTGGTGAAAACCCACTTCTATTGAGGTAAAAGGCACTTGGAAAAGAATGTGTGGAACTGACAGACTCAAATGTGCTCCACATGTTGCCCATCCCTATATGCTTTGTATGCAATTGCCCTGCCTCAAATAAAAAGACAGAAAAAGTATCACTGTATTCCAGTTGCAACCCCCCTTCCCATGTTTTCCCACTTGCTCCACCATTTTTCAGACTAGGAAAATCCAGTTAAGGTGGGTGCTGTTGGTGGCACTAGTGGCCTTCTGCTTGCAGACACCCAAACTGTAATGAGAATTAGACAGGCATTTTCTAACCACAGAACATTTTATTCTGGCCCTTCTTGCCCAGCAGTTTGTATTTTCAATATTAAATTTGGGAAGCAATAGCCATTTTTGGAAGTACCTTTGAAATCTTGCTTTTTGACCTTCACTGATATTTTGGGTTTGTCAGATTCTGTCTCTGGAAGTAAACACTCTAAGGAGAAAAAGAGAATTATAATACAGATGGAACCATCACATTTGTTTGTCAGTTGAAAACAAATCCAGGGAAGCTATATGCAAATATAACATGCTAAGGATCTGTGATGTGCCATCTTGCAGGGCATGTATACAACTCCTTTTCTCCATTATACATATAAACTTCTTACTGTTGTAGCATGCCGAACAGTCCTAAAAATGAAGGTGGTATACTTATAGGCCTGACAAATTGATAAGGATTTTTATCATTTTGATTTTGGTAATGAGAATGATGAACACTTTGTCATTAAGTACCAGAATATATTTGCAGAACAATATATTTTGTTCCTTAACTCAGAGAAAAGAGCTGTGCCCATGCACACTAAATAATAATAATAAACCTTTTTATTTAATGGCTATTTTAAAAATTAATTTTATTGTTAACAGTCGCTTTTTTGTTTTTATATAATCTTATTGAATTTGTTATTGTTTTATTGTTTTTAATTCTATGCTTGTAAGCCGTCCTGAGATGCTGAGGCATGTGGTGACGGGATATAAAAGTTTTAAATAAATAAATATGATAGACTAGGAAAATATCTGTTTTCATGATGTGCAGAATATTTATGGGTGGGGAGAGCAGCTTGTCAACTGCATCATCTCTGGATGCATAATATTCCACTGTTTCTGTAGAAGCTATGCCAGCAGCTGGCAAGCTAGGAAGACAGATTTTGCCCTTACCACATGTGTACTTTCTTTTCCTCAGAGGTACAGATAGGCAAATGAGTGCTCTTCAAGATAGCACATGGTTAAACTATGGAATTCACTTCTACAAGATGTAATGATAACTGCCAACTTGGACAGTTTTAAAAGAAGTTGGAGGAGGAAAAGGTTGTCAGTGGCTATATGTGACCTTCAGTATCAGAGGCAGTATGCTTGTGTCCACCAGTTACTGAGGAACATGAGTGGAAGGGTGCTGTTGCATTCATAACCTCTTGTGGGATCCCATAGACAGCTGGGTGAGCACTGTGTGAACAGAATGCTGGACTAGATGGACCTCTGGTCTGGTCCACCATGACGCTTCCTATGTTCTTAAGATCACTCAGATTCCCCAAATATTGTCCAGTCACCTTTCTCATGCCTGATTCTTATCCAGGCATTTGTGACTGCTACTCACACTTGCAAACAGGAAATTTGTGCAAATCAAGCAGCAGTTGAACAAAAGCCTTGTACAAGTCTCCCTAAATGCTTGCAAATTTCTGAATTTGCACAGCTTACCTACATAGATTAAAGCAAGCCCACTCAACACTTTGAATGGAACATGTTCATATGTTTTATGAGCACAGATGGAATTCTCATACATCCATAGTAACAGCAACAAATAGCAAACATTCACTGATATGGGAAAGAGTAGATTTTTTTTTCTTTCTAAACATGTTTATGTTAGAAACACAGAAGCATTTTTCCAAATTCTTGTAGGGCTATTTCAGCCTGGCAGATTCTAAGCTTCCATTTATGCCATGCATGAAACATTATAAGGAAAGATTTTAAAGACTACTTGACTGCTAGTTGTATGAAAAAGTGAAGGGGTTAATCAGGAATTCTTTGGCTGAAGTCAAGGCAGTTTTTCATATTATGTATAGATCTGATACCCATCCCTCAATCCAGGATGAAATAGCCCCAACAGAACTAAGGGATCTGTCCCTTGTACGAATACCAAGCTCACTTGCAGTTCAATTACAAGTACATGAGGCCAAAGGTTTGGACTAGATGTTAATCCTGACTTGGAAAAAAGAT